CAATGCATTTTATGAATTATTATTTAAGTGGTACACAAGTTAAAAGATTATTAATTTATGTGATATCGATGTCTATCGAATCGACACCCAAATTTTAAATTAATCTACAATCCAATTATATTGTCTAAGTGTCTTTTATTTTTTAAAATTAAAAACAAAATTACATTGGAAAGGGTCTGTTAAAGCCATTAAAATAGCCCTGCCTTCACCCATAAAGTTGTGAAAGCTATTCCCTATAAATCTCTCTACCACAGTTTCATATTTTCTCCTCTGATGCAGACAAGCATTTACCCACTCGAGAATCCAAAGTTTGATGTAAATTCAAAAATGTGGGAACTGAATCCTGAGGTAGAGCAATCACTTACCCACTTGCATTCTCCACCTGTAGAATTTGATAAAAATTCAAAAAGGGGGAAGCTGAGAATAACGATATGGTCTGTGTGGAGACAATTCGATTCTAGAACATGAAGAGAACAAAATAGAGTACGTTTCCAAATATATATGATAATTTTATCACCACCGCACCACCACCAAAATTACCACAACTATATAATAAACAAAAAGTAACTTAAAAAACAAAAGAAAAGGAATTCAACCAAGTATGATGAATAGTGATATTTTGCAATATTTTCTCCTTCTATATCTCAGAAGTTTCTTTTCATCTGTTTAAAGTTCTCTTGACTTTGTTCGTTAAATTCCGCAAATATATGGATCGTGACAAGTAATAAAGTGGATGTTTGAATCTGAATGTCGTTCCCGCAGACACTAATATTTACTATCAACTTTTATTTCAATTCCAGCTCCAATTTAAATTGATGTGGTAAAAACTTAATAAATCAAGTGTTTTTGTTTTAACTAAATTATACTAATTTAAACTAAATTAACCTAACTAATCTAATTTGTGGAGAACTATTAGGATTAAGTGGTTAGGAATTTTGATTTCATTTAGATTATTTAATATTCAACCAATCCAAATTCATTCAGCCATTTTTCATATATATATTAATAAACGAATCAACCAATTTTATGTAGCAGTATCTCTCGAGCAAAACTAACCCTTTTCACGTATCCGAATTTATTATATCTCTATATAAAGTCATGTAAAAGCATTCAATTTTAAGAATTCAATCATGATTGCATAACCTATAAACGTATCTCTCGATCTCCTATAACACCCATGTCATTTATTGCACGAGCTAGAATAATACATTATCTCTCGCTTTTCGTACTATCCCTAAATCAATCAATTGGAGATCAAGCAATGTACGCATTAAACACACAATATTATGAACACATAATCAAGCTGCTTGAAATTTTTGGAATTAAATAAATATTAAACCTAGACTACATCTTTCATCCCAGCAACAAATTATCTAGCCATTCATAATTGAAAAATTAAACAGTTGTTCCTTGGCACCCAATTTCCAACATTGGATCGTCAATCTCCTTTTCCAATCTTGTATATCTCTGACCAATTGTGTTCTTCAATCTTTAAATTCCAAATTTAGATTCAAATCTTGAAGATTCCATGTATTTGGATATATAATTATGCCTCAAGATTGTATTTCTAGCATACCTTAATTATGGAATAAAATATTCATATTTATAGACCTAAATTAGGTCCAAAATAGAGTTTCAAAAGGATTGAGAACCATAGTTTAACTGTTTAAGTCCAAGTAGGATATCTCAAATTGCTGTAATTAAGCTTTTCTTCCATGATTGGGTCTTTGTTTCCTCTTTTAATTCAGATTGAATCCTTAAATTTTGCAATTGAGGTCTTTCAACTTTTAACTTCTTAGTCCACAACTTTCAAAATATGCCCAACTTTATTTTTATTTTTTTATCAATTATTGCCTCTTATCATCTGTTCTCGTCCAATCTCGAGTTTTCTCCTAAAATAATAAAAAACACACAATAGTTACGTATTTGATTCATGAAATTACTCACAGATGTCATGTTTTAACAGACAAAATAAGTGTAATATCAACACTTACCATGATTCTATATTATAACTATAACCAGTTTGCTTCCTGAACCATGTGAAAAAAATTATAGCTTTATAGTTATACATATTGCAATTACAAAATATTTTCACCATGAGGTTTGTTCTAAATTACATAAAGCATTGCTTCTGTTAAAGTATGGTGACCCGAATTTTGTTTGGCCTGATTCAAAGAGTTTGCGGTGCGACATATGTGGTAAAACTAAAATTATGAGAAAATGGAATTTGTGGTGGTAACAGAGGGCCCCATCACTTAGCCCACAACTGATCCCCATGGGGGTGCGAAGACGGAGCTCATGTGGTATAAACCTGTTTTATTATATATACGATGATATTAGGATTTCATCATATCATCATTCAAGGTAGCCGCACTTCTAGTGTGTGTTTTATTCTAAAATGACCTCTATGTGTAGAGTTTCAATGCAAATTACAATATGAATATCATACACTCTTCTTGAGTAAGTAAGTTGGCCATCTAGACTTCTAGATAACACTAACTAGTCATTTGTTATTATCTATTATTTAAAACACTCATCTTGAATGACTATTTACAAAATAACTACATTGTTAAAATCAAATTTGGTAAAAATTTAGTGGGACAAAAATATTAAACGTACGTAAGGAAAAAAGAGCACTATTAATTATTAAAAACTTGAGTAATAAAATTCTGCACCGTTAAAACATTGTCAAGAAAACTCAATTGAAAAAAACTTTAGTCAAGAAAAAAATAGTATAGTTACTCCCCTAATCTCAATTAATGAAAGTCCTTATATCTAGTTATTGATATCTTGTGTGACAATATCCTCAATACACCATCTTCCAAAACTTGTATAAAATAATTCCAGTAATTTATGTTTCATGTTGTCCTGTTAAGGCTCCAAGCAATTCCATCTTCATGCAAAATATGCATTTATTCTGTGTGACTTTGATGAACATGATAGTTTATTGAAAAATAGATTTTGTTGCTCTCTTCCCGAGTCTCGTATATAATTCATGATTTGTGATAGTAAAATCATAGAGTTATATTGAGTGTAAATGTCCTATAGGTTATGACCATTCATTAAACAAATAATATGTCTCGTTAAAGTTTTATTATGAGAATCATATGGAAACAACCTAATGAAGGATAAAGAGTATATTATTCTTTTAAATATACTATAAAATATTTGAATGAAAGATCTTCCATACAAGGGCCGAACCTCATGTATGAGGCGAGGCAATTAGATGTGTTGGGGATCTTTCGTACAAAAATCTTCCACTATTGATTGATATAACCACTCACTGCAGCAACCACTCTACTAAATCAAGATGTCAAGTATATATAGTCCTTAAATGTTAGACCTAGGGCTTCGAATAGACATAACATTAAATGCTATTGAGCCTAGGATCGACAGATTGACGCCTATGACAAGGCGCCTCGGCCACTAAGATGTGGCCACGTGTCTATTCATCCAATAATTAGTATTTATCATCTCCTACGACAAAACGTTCACACATTGTGCCATTTGTAGGTAATTCAATTTATACACACACACAAAAGTAAACTGACTTGATCGTTGGAGTGCTTGCAGCCGCCTCCTCTACCATTGGAGAAGTTCACGTGCTCTAACGGTTTGTCCAAGTGTGTAGAAAGAAAAACAAAAATTATTTTCAAATTTTGAGATCCGTTGACCACGTCACCCGTTCAGATTTTGGGATAAACAAAAATTATTTTAAAATTTTCTTATAGTTCACTTTTTAACCTTAGCCTAACATGATACAAGATTAAGCATTCGGTGTAATGTAAACGTTGTAATTTCGGGAGAAAATGACACATTAGAAAAATAATTTAAAATGAAAATAGGCCAAACGTGGATTATCAGGTTATATATCTGCATGAGTTTATTTGTGGCTAATAAATGGGGACAATGGATGGGGCATTCTTGGTGGGAAAACAAACAAATTCAGCATCTTACAACCCATAGTGGACTATATTCAATCCAATTTAGCATACTATCTTGAATTAGGTCATCTTTTCCATCCGAACATTTTTCTTAAACTTTATCAACAATCTCCATATCTAAATTTTTTGAGAATAGATTTTGTGACAATTATTTCAAAAAATTATTTATTACAGTAAGATTCTCCACCACACATTCACCCAATAAAATATTCTGCACACAAACCAAAAAAATTACTTTAAATTTCAACCACACATTCTCCAAAAAATACTATTTATTGCTCTATTTTTCTCCCAATAATGGGAGACAAACACACTCTAATTATTTTGAAAATATGTTCTTAAGAATCAAGGAAAAGGTACGGATCCACGTACAAACAAAAAATGTATTGAAAGAATGTATGATTGACATGGTCTCCTCTAGAAGAGCTCTTTTGTTAAGTGTTATTATATTTCAATACTGTATACAAAGTAATCAAATTTACTTGGAAAAAATAAAAACTATAGAAGAGATTGAAAATTATATCAAACCCAATTTAGTCAAGCCGGATAGGTTTACCTCTAATTTATTTTTATTTTCATTTTTGGAAAAAAAAATAGTCACTTTAAATTTTTATTCATCATAAAATAGAAGAAATACTTGTCTGCTTTTAACATTTTTAAAGCATATGCTGTTGTGGTAAATTACTTTTTTTTTTAAGTAAGATTTGAGCCTTTTTTTTAAAAAAAAAATAATAAAATAAAAAAAATTATCCACGTCTAAACATTTTTGTATTTTGTCGATAAAAAAAATATTTGACAACTTAAAATTAATTTTGCCAAACATGAACAGATTCTGTTATCTTCCCTCCTTCAGTGGGATCCATAATATCAAATACTAGCCGTAGGTGAATTTCTGATACAAATTTCCAATGGATAATCTAAAAAAAAAAAAATTGTTGAATTTTTTCCTACCACCCAAAATCTCACCCAAAAAAGTCATACCCAAAACAAGAGACCGAGAATGAGGGTGTGTTGTGTGTCCCTTCGTGGATAGAGAAATACTCAAAGAGGAAGAAAATGGCGTTGGCAATGGCTCTCCGGCGGCTTTCCTCCACCGTTGATAAACCCGCAAAGCGTCTCTATAATGGCGGCTCCCTTTACTACATGGTGCTATTTTCTTTTCTATTTCTTGATCTTTTTTTTTTTTTTTATGAATATTATGTTTATGTTTTGCTGAAAGAATTTAATTTGTGTTGATTTGGGTTTTATTTTTTATTTTTTTGTAGTCATCTTTGCCAAATGAAGCAGTGTATGAGAAGGAAAAAAATGGTGTCTCGGTAAGCCTAAATTTTTTTTTAGTTCGTATTCTAGTTCGATATTTAGTTTGTTTTGTTGAATTGTGTGGAATTTAATCATATTTGTTAAGGATTTTTTAAAGGTTGGTTATTCCCTAGCCACAAGTAGACGTAACTCTCATACTGTTTTACTTTGCTTGTAATTGACTTTCATAATTCCATTCAAGTTATTATTGCTCGTCTCAATCCTTAATGATTTTTTTCTTCGCTTTTTTGTGTATGTCTGAGTGTGTGGAAGATTGTATTCTTTTGTAGCGACATGTTGATGTAACTTAGATACTGAGGGTGAACTACTGTAAATCTATGTTTTGCTTTGCTAGTTTTTCACTTTTCAAAGTTCCTTTCAAATTATTATTGCTTACGTCTTAATCTTCAATGGTGATTTTCTTTTGTCGTTGTCGAATTGCAGTGGCCAAAGCAACTGAATGCTCCACTAGAAGTTGTTGATCCTGAGATTGCTGACATTATCGAGCTCGAGAAAGCCCGACAATGGAAGGTACTATCTATCTATTTCAATTCTCTTCCACAATAGTACTGTATTCTATCAATTTTATGCACAAAATTTCTTAAGAACATGACTGTATTAGCATATTGATTTGGGTTCATATTGCATCTTTATCTAGGGACTGGAACTTATTCCTTCGGAGAATTTTACTTCGGTCTCTGTGATGCAAGCAGTTGGTTCAATTATGACTAATAAATACAGTGAAGGATACCCTGGTGCTAGATACTATGGAGGAAATGAGTATGCTGAAACCTCTATATATGCACCTAATTGATTTATTTTCACCATTTTGGACTAATTTTATATGCTTCTTATAGGTACATTGACATGGCAGAGACTTTATGCCAAAAACGTGCTTTGGAAGCATTTCGGTTGGATCCTGCAAAATGGGGAGGTGATTTTCCTTGATTCATTAATAACTCCGAGATATATGTTCAAGTTTGTGAACGGATAGAAGTTTCTTAAACTGCTTTATCTCAATAGAAAGGAAAAGAAGGGAACTTATCGTGCATCCATTGTTTTGATGCAGTGAATGTGCAGCCTCTATCAGGATCTCCGGCAAATTTTCATGTTTACACTGCATTACTTAAACCACACGAGAGAATTATGGCCCTCGATCTTCCTCACGGTGGGCATCTTTCACATGGATATCAGGTGTTTACAGTTACCACCATCTCCGCATTCTATATAATTCATATCTTATCCTTTGTGGCTTAGAGTTTACCAGGTTTTTAGCAAATTGGGAAAAAAAAAAGTTCGGTTTAGTTCTAATTATGTTACGTTTATAGTAGCCTAATCTGTTTTTTCGACCGTACAGACTGACACGAAGAAGATATCGGCAGTCTCTATATTCTTTGAGACTATGCCTTACAGATTGAATGAAAGTACTGGCTACATTGACTATGATCAGGTAAACTTTGCTTCTCCTGTTGTTTCATCAATAGTTAATCGTTAGGCAAATTCAAATCTCATAATCTGATGTTCTACGGATTCATGGACTGTGTTTAGGAAAATGCTTAGTTTTATAAAATTGTGAAAACTTTGTATTCTCTACATCTCTTAGTTTCTATTCTCATACACAGATGGAGAAAAGTGCTACACTGTTTAGGCCGAAGTTAATAGTGGCTGGTGCCAGTGCTTACTCCCGTCTCTATGACTATGCACGCATTCGGAAGGTAAATTCTTTTAGGTTTATATGATCCATTCTTTATTACAATGTTGCGAAGGATCTTAGTCGGACGAGGTGTTTGTGATGTTTATGTAATATTGACAGGTTTGTGACAAGCAGAAAGCAGTTATGTTAGCAGATATGGCACACATTAGTGGATTAGTAGCAGCTGGTGTTATCCCTTCGCCATTTGATTATGCCGATGTTGTTACGACAACGACCCACAAATCACTTCGTGGGCCTCGTGGTGCCATGATTTTTTTCAGGAAGGGCGTAAAAGAGATCAATAAACAAGGAAAAGAGGTTAGTTCCAAAAACGAGTCCTAGCCTCAATTTTCATCCTTGTATAACCTGTTGAAGACTGAATTTAAATAAATAAAATTGTGCCTCTTGCCGTCACTCATTTATGAAAATTGTGCATATGTTAGGATGAAAATATGAATCCTAGTCTGCACGTGAAGGGACTCACTGAAGAATAAGTTAAAATAAATAAAATTGTCTCATCTATTAAATCTTAAGTTTTAGATGAGGTGGTTCGATATAACCAATTTTCGTCTTTACTATTTTCATCTTCCCTCTCATGCTGTTGCTGGCAAAGTTAAACTTCGTCTTCAATGGAAGATAACTAATATCAAGTAAATTTTGAAGGTATTGTACGACTATGAAGATAAAATCAATCAAGCTGTCTTTCCTGGACTTCAAGGCGGCCCTCACAATCACACTATTACTGGTTTAGCAGTGGCGCTGAAACAGGTTCGAGACTCTAAACTAAGCCCCTGTTTGGTAGGAAGTAAAATCAAATTTTAGTAGATTTTGATAGAATTTAACGAAATGTATGGTTGAAAAGTTGTGGGACTCATAAAATATGTGGTTAAAACTAATTATTGACTTCAACTTAGATTAAAATCTAGATTTTGATCGGTACCAAGCATGGATTCAATATAGGGTATCTAAACGAATGGAGGAAATTCATATTATCCTTCTCGGTATAAATGCAGGCCACGACTCCCGAATACAAAGCTTACCAAGAGCAAGTCATGAGTAACTGCTCAAAATTTGCCCAGGTACGATTTACTGAGAACTAAGACTTGTGACTGAAAGATCTTATGCATAAACTATATTGGTAGTTACAATTTCAAACCATACAATTTACAAAATCATTATTTACATGTTTTCCTATCCAATTCTAAAATCAATCTGTTTGTACAGACTTTGGTCGAGAAGGGCTATGAAATCGTTTCAGGTGGAACTGAGAACCACTTAGTTCTAGTCAATTTGAAAAACAAGGTAAAGTTAACAAAAAAAATTTTTTTTGGGGGCAATTTGAACAGCTACTAAGCAATTTTTTTTGGTTTTTCGTGTCTTCAGGGTATTGATGGTTCCAGGGTTGAGAAGGTGTTGGAGTCTGTCCACATTGCAGCAAACAAGAATACAGTTCCTGGAGATGTATCTGCAATGGTTCCTGGTGGCATCCGAATGGGTAAGATGCTTGTTTACTGGTCGGGATTTCACTATAAAACTAGTTTCCCGAACTAACTAGTTTGATGAACTCGTATTTCTCAGGAACTCCGGCTCTTACTTCTCGGGGATTTGTTGAAGAAGATTTTGTTAAAGTTGCCGAGTTTTTCGATGCTTCCGTGAAGTTGGCAGTGAAAATTAAGGCTAACACTCAAGGTGCTTTATTTGCTTACTTTTATTGCCATATCATAATCTATTGAGTACATATTTGATGCAAAGTAGTAGATAATACCATTGATAAAGTTTTAACTTCATTTTTTCCCTTAACTTACTGTCTAGTCCTTGTTACCAAACGCTCCATAAACTCGTTCAATCTTTCAAATAAAATTTCTTTTCAAGTATGTCACGTCTAAAGCTTCTTTTTTCGCTTCATCTCGCTTTTTGCTCCAGGGACAAAGCTGAAGGACTTCGTGACTGCAATGCAGTCGAGTGCCTCCGAGATTGCAAAACTTCGCCACGATGTGGAGGAGTACGCGAAGCAATTCCCAACAATTGGATTTGAGAAAGAAACCATGAAGTACAAGAACTGATCAGGTGCAAATAGGGGGCCAGAAGCAAATAATTCATTTTTTTGGTGTAAGATTGTTTTGTTTATTCCTCTGGACAGTACAATAGACTTTGATTTTTAACTTCTTTTTTACGTTTATTCAATGCATTACGGCAACCCGTACAATTTAAAAATTTTTACCGGATTTTTTTTGAGCAGGAAACAGGCACTATATATTTCAAGACCAATTGATCTTCAGAATCACAAGGGTGAATGGAAATGAAATGAACCTTATGTATAAAATCTAGCGGTATTTTATTTCCTATTTCGACTGGTGTATATGTACATTGTCCAGTGATATTTGAAGCAATAAACTCAATTTAACTTGTAAGCAATAAGTGATTGTCATGTTTGATCAAACTTTTTAGATTTATCTATTTATTTATTTTGTGAAATTGATAGAGAGATATTCCTTTGTTAGGAGTTTATTTTCCTTGACTGGTTAGGATTTTTAGCTTAACTAGTCACAGCTAAACGTGCGTTGCACGTTATTTTGAAATGTTTTATAAATGCTGTAAAAATGATATTTGAAAATTAGTGAATATAAAAAATAGT